GCATTTTTTTTTTTTTGTGCTCTTTTCACCAAACTGGGGCAAGTTCGGATATTGCGCGTGTTTTGGACATACATCATTAGTGCGCCTTGAATTATATTTTTAAATCCTATGCTTGTACTTTTTTTTTTTTTTTTTTTTTCGCCCAGTGCACATGGGAAAAAAGAGCACGCATGGGGTTTTACATATAAAAATATACAATTGAAAAATTATATTTGTATGTAATTTATACATGTATACATTTCGCGTTTATATATAAATCACCAAATGCATAATTATTTTCTCACATCATGTTCAAAGGAACCATTTTTTTATACCTGTACGCAATTTGCACATTGGTACAAACCTCTTGCCCTCATGGCGAAAAAAAAAAAAAAAAAAATGATCCGCTGCACAAAAGGGTGTTACCGTCACCCACATGATCGTCATATTTTTATAAATATCGTTTATACATCATTTCAGAGGGGGGTTATAAAAGTTTGTTCCTTTTTTTTTTTTTTTCTGTAATATTTACATGATGTGCCATTGTATTGTGAGCACGTGCTGTGTTTGGGGACGTTCATCACGTGCAAGCAATTGTTCGCTCTTAGCATTATTATACACTACTTTTATTTTTACGTCGTTTTATCCTTTACCTTTGCTCATGATTCTCTTGCTTAATTTTGTGTCAACTCTAGGTCTGTCGAGAAATGTTTCACAGGACACCGCACAGGAATATTTTATACGTATAAAATATACCGTATGTGATACGTGTACTGCAATTTTTCTCATCGCATTTTGAGCATGCGTTTATATATACATACACAAATAGGCGAAGGAAAAAAAAAAAAAAAAAAGAAGTACCTATAAAAATTCTACCTTTTTCTCTCTATATATATGTATGCCCGGGTGAGGCAAAAAGGTGAAAAGTGCGGAACGTCCATATTTTTATATATTTGTACTTGCGCTTATGCAAATCGCCCTACATCCGCAGACTTTGCCAACCCCAATGTGCACTGAAGGATATCCTGCATTTTTTTTTTTTTAATTTTTTTCGTTTGGGATTAAATGCGTTTTTTTTTCCGTCATTTTCGCACAATGCGTTCTTTTTCGTGGGCTGCTTTATACATATTGCCCCTTCGGAAAAATGGGACATTCCCTCTGGTCTTAATTTAACAAAGTATAACAAATGACTTTTGCATAAGTACGTACCTGGACATAAAAGTACTCCAGTTTAAATCTCCCCTTATTTGTATACGAGACGCATTGGGACTGTCCTCTGTCCTCCTCGCCGTTCCCACTGTGGAGTCTATGTTTTTTACATGCAGACATTTGCAGTTCACAAAATGTTGCCTAGACGGCCAAGGGACAGCCATTTTAAACATGAGAGAGAAACGCGGGAAGTTGGGGTGCTGAAAAAAAATAGCAAAATGATGGTAAAATGGGCGGGAAAAAATAATAACAAAATGGGGACAAAAAAAAAAAAAAAAAAAAAAAGCCAGAAAGAAACCCCATGTGTTCATTAATTTTTCGAACGTATAAGAATTCCCATGAGGAGCATAGCATGGCTCTTATTAGTTCTCCTTATTCGTGTCCAGTTATGCCAACATGTTCTATACAGTTGGCCCACATATGCGCCCTATGCAAAGTTTATAATGCAACAAAGGACACATGGTTCTATGCAGCATCCGGATGGAATGCAAAATGGAATAACAGGAAAAGTCTTTGCTACTGCTGTATGTTCAAATTATACAGGTATATTCTTACTACATATAAAAAGGAAAATAACATCGACCCCACCTTTTTCATTTTTTACATTTTTGTTTCCGTCTTAATATGCCAGTTCGGCAAGTCTCAAAGACATTTTTAATGTCCTATGTCCAAATGAAAGCAATTTTGTTAATTCACCATTTTTGCGCATTAGAAAAAATTGCCTAGCCGCGCCTCCTGTGCAGAATTAACCGTCTGCATAAAGGTATGAGTCGTCCGACGTACGCGGTGAAGGGGAATTGCCACATGAAGTCATGTCCCCTGCTCTCATCCGCTTTTATAGAGTTCATTCCCCCCTCGAATGAGCAAAAGTAAAATGGGGGAAAATGTTAATGGGACGGAAAATTTTGTCATAAGAAAAGGAGGTAACAAAAATGGGATCATAAAAATGGATTTCCCTTCTCGTTCCTTCTTTTGTTTTTTCTTTTTTTCCCTTTTCGGGGGTTACCATCCCGAGTGCATATCAAGGTGTAGGTGCAAAATTTTACGTAGTTCCGAGCCATCCGCTTATTCATATATAATTAACCCCCTTTATATCCAACGAGGAATTGTGTAGGGTTCACAAAAAAAAAAAAAAAAAA